AAGAGGGGGGGGGGGGGTGACGCGGCGGCCGGGGGAGGAGGGCGGAGGGGGTGAGGGGTTGAGGGGGTGGTGGCGGAGGGCCGAGCGCCAACCTCCTTGATCTCCTTGATCTGCTTGTCGCAGCCGCCAATCATGTCGTAGGTCGAGTCGGGCACCTTCTCGAGCTTCATCAGCGAGACGAGCGGGTCCACCTTGGACGGCAGCACCAGGTGCAGCGTGTACGAGTCGTTGCGCAGCGCGACGCGGTCGTTGGCATTCAGCTTTGTGATGTCAATCGTCTTGTCAATGTCGACGACGTACTTCCCCTCGGGATGCACCTTCACCAGCACCTGTCGCCGCGGGCACGCGCGCGCTGGCGTGGCCACGAACCAGGGGACATCGCAGCCGCCTCGCGGCGCGCCTTCTTCCGGCCCATCACCTTGACGACCTCGCCGACGTACGACCCCGGCTCCTGCAGCAGAGACAGCTCCTCGCGCAGCAGTCGCACCTTGGAGTTGAGCTCGTTGCGCTGCGCCTCCAGCCGCCGCAGGTTCTGCGTCTTCTCGCGCACCACCACCTTACGAGAGAGCGGCCGCAGGGCGGGTGAGGGAGCGGCGGCAGGCGGGCGCGGAAAGCGGCGGGCGCGGCGGCACGGCGCAGCGGCGGCAGCGGGCTGCGCGAGCGGCGCGCCTCCAGCTCGTCAATCTTTGAAGAGTAGTAGTTGGAGATGCCGTGGCCGGCGCTGACCGCCGCCACCATCGATGTCGGTAAAGCAGGCTGGCGCCGCTCTCGTCTCGGCCTTTGCGCGAAAAGAATTTTACGAAGCGTCGAAAAGAATTTCGCGGCGTTGTCTGTTTTTTCTTTCTTTCTTCTTCGAGGCAAATTGTATGTGAGTGTGCCTGTGGTAGGAGAGACTGCCAGCGACAAGCTGGAGGCAGGTCGCTAGACTGAGATGAGACCGCCAGTGGATGTGGGAGTCCACCGTGCACCGCGCTGCGAGCCTGTCGTGTCCCTTGTCAGGAGCAGGAGAGCCCCACCTGTCCCCCTGATCGTTCTTCCAAAATCCTGCTCGTGCAGGTGGGGACCCTGTCCTCGTCCCATCCCTCGTTTGGCGTGTCTGTTTTCTTTCTTTCTTTTTTTCGAGGCAAATTTTTGTGATCTCACGGAATTCTTTGCTGACCGCGCTGCGAGCCTGTCGTGTCCCTTGTCAGGAGCAGGAGAGCCCACCTGTCCCCCTGATCGTCCTTCCATAATCCTGCTCGTGCAGGTGTGGACCCTGTCCTCCTCCCCTATCCCTCGTTTGGGTTGTCTGTTTTCTTTCTTTCTCTTTGCTGATATACACACACATTCATCCTACTAGGCGAAGTCTCACCTGCAAGTCTCAACGCACATGCAGGATGACTCAGACAGAGAGGAGAGGAAGGAGGAAGGAGGGGCCGCCGTGCGAGAAGCGAGAACTGGGAGAGGGAGACGAGAGCGGGGAGGGACAGGAGGCAGAGAGAGAGGAGGGAGAGGCGCGAGATGGCGAGGCGTCAGGAAGGAGGGAGGGGCGGAGGCTGCTACTCCTATGCAACCACCCACTTCCAAAGAGGCGCTATTACTGCACAGGGCTTTGTCGAGGTGGAGCGTCGAGGGTGGAGCACACAGCCCTGCCACGGATCTGCAGCACCACGTTGGGACCAACGTGCAACGTGGCCGAAGGTCTAACTTGGTTGTGATATCGAGAGCGATGGGAGTGGCGTGGTCGGCTCTCAGTCCATGTCCCCGCCGCCGGAGTCCGAGCAAAACAGCTCCACGACTTGCAGCAAGCTCTCGCAATCGTAGTTCGGTGCCGCGGGCGGGGGTCGCGAGGGATCGGACACTGAGGGAGGGGGGGAGGGGGGCGGGGGCGGGGGAGGGAGCGGCGGCGGCGGGAGCGGCGGCGGCGGCGGCGGCGGCGGCGGCGGTGTCGGCGGGGCCGAAGTCTGGCTGGCCAGATAGTGGTCTGCGATGCCGCGACTCCACGCTCCTCCCACGTCCGCCGAGCTCTCCCAAAAGAAGGAGCCGCCGTTGGCTGGCACGGCGGCATCGAGGAGCTGCACCACCCTGAGGGCGTCGGCGCCTCCGGTGTTGAAGCCTGTGCAGTCGCTGACGCAAAAGCCAAACACCACCTTGGAGGCGTCGCCGCCAAAGGCGGTCGACGCCAAGGCGCTAAAGTGCTGAAGCGCGCCGGTAAAGTTGGTGGAGGGTCGCTGCCAGCCATTGTAATATTGCGGCATGATGAAGTCGATCATCTCGCTCTGTCCCGCGAGAATGTTGAGATACTCCTCACGGCAGCCTGGGTGGATGCTCGTCGTGCATAGGTCAGGGTCCATCGGGGCGTGCGTGAGCAGGAAGGGGCTAGGGAGCGCGGTGCGCAGCCCGCTCGTGAGGGCCGCCAGGAACTCGCGGTACTTTGCCTCGTCGAGGTAGTACTCGTAGTCGACATCGATGCCGTCCGCTCCCGACGCGAGGACAATGGCAGCCAGCTGCGAGACGAGGGCGTCCACCTTGTCGAGGCAATGCTCCCAGCACGAGTTTGAGCCAGGATCACCCTTCGCCTCCCACACGCCGCCCATCGAAGCGCCGCCGAAGGAGAGGATCACCTTGACGCCCACGCTCTGCAGGTCGCCCACCATCTCAACGAGCGACTTGCCGCCACAGCCAGGCACGCCTTGCACTGTGCACGTCCGGTCGGTCTCGCACGTGTCTTGCCCGGCTGGCCGCCACGCCGGATAGGTGACTGCAAATGCGACCAGCGCATGCGTGTAGTGCTGCAGTTGCTCCGCCGAGGGGCACTCCTTCCAGTTTGGAACATAAGCGACGAGGCGCTTGCCGGACAGGACTGCCGCGGGGTCGAGGGGCGCAGGCGGGGGTGGCAGAGCTGTCGGTGGGGTCTGCTCGCTCCCGATGGCGCAGTCGCTGTCGGACGGGTCGCCGCATAAAACATCGCCTTTGCAAAACGTGGCGCCCCAGCAGTCGCTGCCGTCGGCGCAGGGCGCCGTTGCCGCGTCGCAAGGGATGCACGCCGCCGGACCCGGGTTGGATTCGGCCCAGGTTGTCGCGCAGAAGCCGGTGTAGCCGCCGGTTGGAGTCTCGGGCCCGGGAGTCGGCGCTGGGGTCTCGGGCCCGGGAGTCGGGGTCGGCTCAGGCGTCGGTGTTGGTACAGTAACGGCCACCCCCCCTTTACAAGTCGGGCCGGTGCCGCCACACTTGCCTGGATACGCGGCCCTTACCTCATCGGTCATGCTCTGCAGCAGCGCGAGCGCAAACTTCTCGTTGCCGTCAACGGTGGGGTGCGTGTAGTCGGAGTAGTCGCTCGCGCAGTCGAGCCAGCGGGACGATGGAGATCCTGTCTCGACCAGCTTGACCTTGCTGTCCTGTGACCAGTTGTTGACGGCGCTGAGGATGCCTTGACGCATGGTAACCCACTTACTGTCGACACCGCCAAAGCACGAGTACGCGAGGGGCACGACCGCAAAGATGAGGGCGTCCGGATTGGCCGCGCGGGCGAGCCCAATCAACTCGCTATACTTGGCGGCGAAGGCTGCCTGGGCCGGGTTGCCAAAGACGTAGTCGTTCGTGCCGAGGTTGATTGAGACGACGTCGGCCTGCCAGCCGCCGTCCAGCCACTGCTCGCGAGGGCAGCTCCCTTGCCAGTCAGCCCACCAGTACTCGGCGCAGCCAAGCTGATCGCTCATCATCCCGGTGCCACCGGTGGAAAGGGACACCGAGATCCCCGATCGAGCCACGACTCGCCAATCCCACGTGCCCCACGCGTCGGCGAGTCTCCGCTCGTACGTCTTGAAGATATCCGACTTGGTCGCGTCCTGAGGGTATAAGCCTCCTGGTGGGACGAGGACTTGGAAGCCGGCCGTAATGGAGTCGCCGATCGCCTCGAGCCTGAGCGGGTTGGCCGGGAGAGCAACCGTGAGGAAGCTCCCGCCGTCGAGCTGGATCGCGGTGATTGTCGTCGTGCCGTGCGACGCCTCAGAGTTGCGCCCGCACCAGATCGTGTAGGTGGAGGCGCGCTCGAGGCCTGCCACGAGCACACCGTTCATCTCGTAGGACGAGTACACCTTCTCCTCTTGTCCGTGCGCCGCCAACACGGCGCTGCCGCCGCAAGTGTAGAAGAGGTTCGGTGGCGAGTCAATGCCGAGAGTCAGCTGGCTCGCGCCTTGGAAGCGGGCGTGCCAGACGCTCGGCGCCCACTCCGCGGCGAGGCCGGTGCTGGAAGACCACCATCGGCCGACGAAGAGGATATTCGGGAATAGGCTGCTGAGCATCGTGGGTTAGGGATCCAGGAGGAGGAACGACCCAACCTTGGTCCCACCGCGGGCGGAGAGGCACCGCGCGTGACGGCGCGAGGGATTTCATCAAGGTTGGGGTTATTACGCTCGGAACTCCTTCTCCCATTTCAGGGGAGAGAGAGTTTTCAATGTACGTACTTATAGCTTACTCTCTCTCAATGTATGTGGCTCTTACGTACATTCCCGGAGGAGGACTGCTGACAGGATTTGCGATGAGGAGTGACCCGAAGGGTTTCTCGGGGTTAGTGGATAGTGCACCATTTTTGAAAACCAAAAAGAAAAAAGAGTGCGTTTCTCTCTCTTCCCTTCAGAGGTCGGCGCCTCAATATGGTTCTCTGTCTCTCTAAGGATTATGGCGTGAGGTGGGAAGCTAGCGCTGTGTTCCACACCTCCGGGACGCCTTTGTTTGGGGCGGGGATGTTCTTGAATCACTCTCTCTCATCTGCAATCGGGCACTGCGAACAAAATAAACAAGAACTCATAGTACAAGCCGGGGACGGGCTGGAGCTCTGAGCGGAGCAGCGGCATGGCGGGAAGAGCGCCCTGCCTAAAAGACGGTCCTCCTGAGATAGGCGACGTCTCCTGCAAAGTACCAGTGTTTGTAGCGGCGGCCGCTGAGCCCGTGAGGGTCGAGAAGTTGGATGGTCTTCCGATTGAATCTCCTCGCCACGTGGGCAAACGCAGGCTGGTCGCGGTCCGAGCTGTCCTTCTGCATCACTTCCTCTCGCCAGGCTCTCATAAATGGTGCGGAGCCAGCCTTGATGAGGAGGAGGGCCCCGTCGATGTACCCCCAGAACGTATCCTTCTCGGCGTTGTATCTCCGAACTTGAGCCAGAAGCAGGGACGCGTTGTCCGCCCGTGGGCGTAATTCGTTGGCGGTGACCACCGCCGTTGCCTCCCAGCTCATATGGGCCCGCACCGCTGAGTCTGACGGCCACGCGCCGATGCTTGGATGCGCCATCGCAGCAAAGGGGCGAGAGGAGAGGGAAGCGAGCTCCTGGATGGAGGCCGCCATGTGTAGCTTGGTGTCGTAAAAGACCGCCATCGATCCTTGAGCGAAGAGGCAGTCTGGCGAGAGCTTGATCACCTTCGACATCCGCCGAGCAGAGAACATCTTTGTCGACTCGACCGTCCGGTGGATGATGTAGACCAGACGTGCCTGGGACTGAAGCGTATGCCTGCCGACGAAGAAGACAGAGCAGCCTGGCTTGACCCCGGGGGGTGGCACAATCTCCGGGTGCTTACCGCGGACCACCACGGAGCTGTATGCAATCTGCCTGCACCCCGCCGTTTTCCTCAACGACTCCTCGATCGTCCGACGGTCGAGGAGGGCGCACTGTGGTGGGACCGGCGTCCCTGGTAATTGAGCCTTGTTACGCGTGCGCTTTGAGCTGCCCTCCCCGCTCCCCAGCGCGACGACCGTAGTGTTGCTCCATGGCGGAGGAGGCGGGCGACCTCGGCGGAAGAGCGGGCGCACCTCCTGGAGGTAGGCATCGATTGAGACGGAGCTCTGCAGTATGCAGCCCACATCTTGGCTCCACTTACAGAGCCGCCTCTGGCGCAAGACATCAGTCCTGCAGCACTGCGAGGGCCCTCCGGGCGCGCGAATGCATCCATGCCCGCCGCAGCGTCCACATGAAATGTTGCAGCAGATCTGGCCAGTATCATGGGGAATGCCAGCGAGACACAGCCGCTGGGGAACTTGTGGAGTCGGCGTGTGCAGACTATACGGCGCGCCGTCTGACCAACTACCCATTACCCGCCGACCCGGCGGACGACCTCCGCGGACGGACGATGCGAGTGAGGAGTGATGAAAGCTGACGCGGCGGGCGGCGGTTTTTTCTTTCTCAGGGCTGTTTTCAGCGTACTCGAGTAGTGGCTCTTACGAACATACCCGATGGTGGACTGACAGGGTTTGCGGAGCTGTATCGCCGATTTTCACCCTTACTCGCTGTGTGTGGTGGGTGGGTGGGGTTCGGTGGGTGGGTGGGTGTGGTGTGTGTGTGGGGGGGGGGGGGGCAGCTGCCGCTTCTGCCCAAGAAGGTGATGTTTGTTTCGATATTCGCCAATAGGGTAGCGAATTGCGTGAATGCTCAAGGAAGGGTGAATCGCCGACGCTAATAAAGTTTGCCGGGCGCTTGCGATCGGCACGAACTCGAGCCGCGGGGGCGAGCATGGCGGCCGACGATCAGCTAAACGAGGTGATCCGCGCAATTGCCGCGGCCGAGATTGCGTCTGGCCGCGAGCGCGGGCTCCAAATTGTCGCGTACCACAACGGCCAGTGCATCGTCGACGTGTGCGCGGGTCGGACAGCCGCAGGTTACGCGTTGGCGCCCTCTGCGACAATCATGCCGTATTCGGTGACCAAGGGCGTTGCAGCTACCGTTATTGCGCGTGCCATCGACATGAGTGCGGGTCGGGTCCACTACACGGATCCCGTTGCTGCGCATTGGCACGCCTTCTCGCCCAACGGCAAGGGCCGAATCAGTATCGCCGACGCATTGTCGCACCGTGCGGGTCTGCGGGCTCGCTCCCTCTGCCCGCTGCTGCTTCCTGTGCTGCTAATATGTGGCCGCGCCATTGAGGGGATGGCACTCGGCGTCGACTGGATTGCCTGCTGTGTGCCTTCGTGGCGCCGACATGCCGAGCCTACACTCCCCTCCTCTGCCCACTGACTCGTCGCTCTGCTTGCGTGCAGGTCAGAGTTGACGTACGCTCGGTATCACCCGACCTCCTGGTCGTGGGTTGCGGGCGGGATCTTTGCGCACGTAGCGACGGACAACAACGGAATGCCGATGAAGTGGGCGCATATACGAGACGGAGCGGCGCAGCTCGCGCGCGCTCTCGCCGTCGATCCGTCCGAGTTGCAGATTGGCGAGGTGTCTGGTGACGCTGCAGCACCCGCCAAGCTGGTCACGCCAGAGGTGCGAGCAACCGCCACGCAGGCCTTCTCGGCGTGCTGCCACCGGAGCAGAGTGATTGTAACACAGCAGCCTGTGGCCGCTGGCTTACTTCTAGCTCTCTTCCCCACTCTGCTGCTGCCGCTGTTTGCCCTCACCACACTCGCCGTCACTATACTCGCCCTCGTCGGATCGGCGTTTGGGGCGTTCATCGGCAACGCGCGCTTCTTCTTGCGCCCCTGCCTCCCCTCATCGAACGGCTTCTTCACCGCACGCGCCGTCGGCGCAATGTATGGCGCGATCGCCAACGGCGGGGCTCTCGCCGATGGCCGGCGCATCCTGAGCGCTGCAATGGTTACCGAGCTGCGCCAGCGGGCGAGCGACGCCTCGCAAGATGTGGCCGGGTTCCCAAGACCTGGGCGGCAGACATGCGGCTGGTCCCCCTGGCTTGGAGCACAGGTCGAGGCTCGGGTACAAAACTCTCGGCAGACGGAGGATGCGGCGCCAACTCGGCTCGCCATCCTTGGCCATGACGGAATGGGCGGCTCCTGCGCGTACGCTGACCTGGACAACAACATCGCCATCGCTGTCCTCAAGACGGCGTTTTCACCAAACTTGCTCGATATTCTCGAAGGCGGCGGCCTCTTTGCGCCGGGCCGCGTATGCACGCTCGTCGATGACGCTGTTCGGCAGCATCTCTCCTTCCCTGGCATGGCCGCGGACGCCCTTGTGGCTCGCTCGCCGACTCGCCGCCTCGAAAAGCTCGCCGAGGCTGCCACCGCCAAGGTGTCGGCGGCGGCAGCCTCGCTCGACGCCGCTGTGCCGCGCAAGTCGGCCGGGGAGCTGTACCGCGAGGCTGCTGGCGGCGACGACGATCAGGCGGGCGCCGCTGTCAATGGCGCACTACCGGGCAGCAAGTCGGCTGGGCAGCTGTACCGCGAGGCTAGCGGCGAGGCGGGGGTCGACGAGGCGGGGATTGCCATCAACGGCGTCTTGGCGCGCTCGCCGACTCGCAAGGTCGAGCAGCTCGCAGAGGCCGCCGCGGCCACAGTCACCGCAACAGCGGCCGCACTGGACGCTGCGTTGCCGCGCAAGTCGGCCGGGGAGCTGTACCGCGAGGCTGCTGGCGGCGACGACGATCAGGCGGGCGCGGCTGTCGACGGCGTCTTGGCCCGCTCGCCGCCTCGCAAGGCGGAGATATTGGCCGAGGCCGCCGTCGCAACCGCTGCCGCGGCGATTGTTGCGCTCGACGCCGCACTACCGGGCGGCAAGTCGGCTGGGCAGCTGTACCGCGAGGCTAGCGGCGAGGCGGAGGTCGACGAGGCGGGGGTTGCCATCAACGGCGTCTTGGCCCGCTCGCCGACTCGCAAGGTCGAGCAGCTCGCAGAGGCCGCCGCGGCCACAGTCACTGCAACAGCGGCCGCACTGGACGCTGCGTTGCCGCGCAAGTCGGCCGGGGAGCTGTACCGCGAGGCTGCTGGCGGCGACGACGATCAGACGGGCGCGGCTGTCGACGGCGTCTTGGCCCGCTCGCCGACTCGCCGACTCGAGCAGTTGGCCAAGGCCGCGGCTGCCACGGCATCAGGGGCGGCAGCCGTGCTCGACGCCGCTGTGCCGCGCAAGTCGGCTGCGGCATTGTACCGAGAGGCATAAGGACAGAAAGCAGTGTTTTATCGCGCGGGCGGTCTCGAGGGGACGGGGGCGGCGGCGCCCCAGTCCCCACCCCCCACGGCACCGTGGGCCCCCCAGACGTCCTCCACGCCGGTGTCGCCGCTAGCGCAACGGAGCTAGCGCCACAGCCGACATAAGGGGCACAAGCGGGGCGCGACATATGGGGTTTTAACGTACGAACGACCCAAACGGGGACACACACTTGAGCGCTCTAGCGCGTGTAGGTACGAGTAGTCCTCTTATTTTACGATCTCCTAGCTCTCGAGAAATATTGTAGAGCCGTGTGGCACGTAATGTGACTAATATATAAGAGCCCCGTACACACGACACTGCCGTAGCACCGCAACGAAGCGCAACTCCTCCTGCTCCCTCCCTCGTCTCACCCTGCGCGTCTGCTCCGCCTCACCGTCTTCTGCCCTGCGTCGTCTGGCGACGGGTCCTCCATAGTCGGTCGAGGTCGCCGCCCTCCTCGTGCCTCTTCCCAACGTTCCCCTCGGCGGCCGATGCCGTCTGCTCCGACTCCGCCGTCCCCGGGTCTGCCCTGCCCTCGTCTGCGCTAGCTTCTGTTTCGTCATCACTGGCGTCCCTCCTCTTCTTTCTCCTCTTCTTGTATGCTTTGTACATCGCGTCGATTCCTTTTCGCGTGAGCACCAGCCTGAACGCCCGCCCAGCAGCTGCGTGTATAGGTACGAGTAGTCCTCTTATTTTACGATCTCCTAGCTCTAAATATTGTAGAGCCGTGTGGCACGTAATGTGACTAATCTATAAGAGCCCCGTACAACACTGCCGTAGCACCGCAAAGCGCAATTCCTGTATTCCTCCTGCACCGCCACAGACACCTCAGGCCAGAACCAACCTGCAAGCACCCTCCATGATATCTCAATATCTAGATAATTCGAGCGTCTCCACCCCTAGCTCTGCCTCTCTCGCGCACAGAGACCTGCGCATGCCGCGAACACAAACACCGAGCAGTTCGGGCTCCTCGCCTCCGGCGCCCCTTCTCACAGCCCGCTGCCGAGGGACCTGGCGGAAGGGATCGCATTCGCCGACTGCGAGAGGCGCTCCTTGTGCTCGCGCTTGAAGAGGGAGGTGTAGGCCTGCGAGCGCGTCTCCAGCCCGGAGGAGGCGGCCGAGTCGAGCTGCTTGAGCTTGAACTCGCGGTTCTCGCGGTTGCAGAGCGTGCGCAGCTGGAAGTAGTACGAGGCGTACAGCGAGGCGCTGATGGAGACGTCGTGCTCGAGCAGCTCCAGGAACCTGCCGGCGCGGGGTGCAGCGAGGGTGCAGCGAGGGTGCAGCGAGGGGGCGGCGAGGGGGCGGCGAGGGGGCGGCGAGGGGGCGGGGAGGGGGCGGCGAGGGTGCAGCGAGGCGGGCGGGAGGGAGGGCGCGAGGGCAGGCGCGAGGGCGAGGGCGTGCGTCCCACCGGTCCTGTGAGGACTGCTCTCCTTGCTCGACTCGGTCGTGGATGACGACGGCGACGCAAAAGATGATCTCGTCGATGTCGGGCCGCGTGATCGTCGACGAGATGAAGATGGACGACGTCGAGTTGAACCGCGGCTCGACCTTCCTCTGCGGCTCGGCGGCAGCGACGGGTGCGGCGTCTGGGAGCGAGGGAGGAGACACGAGGGTCAAAGAGCCGGGCGGCAGGGGCGAGCCCTGGCGTGGACCGGCGCGAGAGGCGTCACGCGCGCGTCGAGGGCCTCCCCTGGCGCCCCGGTGTGGCAGCGCACCCGCCATGTCAACGTCAGTGGAGCAGCCCGCGTCTGCGGCGGCACGTGGGCGGCACGTCAGCTCCGCGCCGATGCGAGACGCGGCCGGTGAGCGGGCGCGCGCCGGCTGACGAGAGCGAATCGATGCCCAGTAGAATCCGCTTGCGGTGCCCGGCCATGGAGACGCCAATCTCTTTCAGCGACCCGTCGTCCATGCGCTTCAGAGCCTGCTCCGTGGTGACGCCTGCGGCAGCGAACGCCGGATCGTACTTGGCCATGTTGAGGGCCTGCAGCCAGCCGCCGACGGAGCCGTCCGGGAGCGAGGTAGGGAAAGAGGCGGCCATTGGCGGCGGGAGCTAACCAACCCTGCCAGCTGCCCCAACCCCAAGTCGTACTTTCCGCGACATGACTTGATTTCGGCCCAGAGGGGTGTGGTTGAGGGGTTGAGGGTTGAGGCCCCCCCTCAACCATCTGGTTGACGGTTGAGACCCCCCGTCAACCCTTTAGTTGAGGGTTGAGGCCTCCGGGGCCTATTCTCAGGCTCGCGCGTGATCAGAAGATAACCTTGAAAAGCCCTGCCGCCAAAAAATCGCTCGCTCCGCCTGCGGCGCGCTCTTGCGCTCCTCATACCTCGAGCGCAATCCATAAGTAGGAGACGCTCACTGTCGCCATTCAGGCGCCTGATCTTTCAGCAAAGCGATGGCCTACCAGGTACGAGTTCAGATGCGCGCCCGGCAGAATTTGTTTGACGCTTGTGATGCCGCATGCAGTGGAATGCGCACAGAGAACGGACGGCAAGAGAAGGCAAGGGAAGAAAGAGAAACGGCTGGTGCAGCTAAGCTCACGGCGTAGTATTGCGGTCACTAACCAGTCGTACTTTCCGCGACATGACTTGATTAGCACTTGGAGCACTTGGAGTGCGGTCATCAACCTCACGCCCAGGACCGGGGAGCTAAGAAGCGCACCCAGTTGGCCGGACGCTCGGCATCGGGTTGCGGGCAAGAGAGCCCTAGCCCAGGGGGTGCGCGTTCGCAGGGCCATAACACGGGTCTCCGAGGGTTGGTTCTGCGCTTTGGGTTTCCCCTAGCTGCGGAACGCCCCCTCTACTCGGAGCTAAAGAATACTCTCCGAGGGTTGGCTCCGTGTACCAGGTTTCCCCTTAACTGCAGAACGCCGCCCCTCTACTCGGAGCTAGTGATACGAGAATACGTACTGCCCCCACGCAGTACCTGTACTACTCGACGATAATACAAGAATACGCAGCTGTGAGGTACTTTTTGCCGCAGCGATGCCCGCAGCCTGTCGAGCAGCTTCCGCGGCGCCCATGCGCCGCGGGGTTGACCGACAGCCGCGCCTCTCGCGCCTCCCGTGCCACGCGCGGCGACGCGCACCCTGCGCGCCAGTCGGCGCATTGGCAGTACTGCACCAGCCAGCACGGCGTGGAGCAATGCATCCAGGGCATTGTGCTGGGCGCCAACCAGCATGCCTCAGGACAGAGCACGGGATCATGCTGCGCACCCTGGCGCAGCGCCAGCTCGCCTCCAAACAGGCACTCTCACCACTGCACAGCCGCCCACGAGCGCCCGCAGCTGCACTGCTCAACACTGAAGCTCAGGAGCCTCCCCTTGTTGTCGCAGCTTTGTGCAGTGCAGCGTGCGAGCAGCGCAGCGCCAGGCCGACCCCTGGCACGCCCGGGCGGCTGTGGGACGGAGGCCCGCCGAGCGAGTGCGAGCCGCATCGGCGGCCATGTCTCCTGCCGCCGCGAGCGAGCGGCGCAAAGAGGCAGCGTCGCGCATGCTTTTCCGTAACGTGAATATCTTAGCGCTCTTTTCTTTTAGTGATTTCGTCGCTTTTTTTTCGGCTCCGGTGGTGAGCCTGTGTGTGTGCCAGTCCGCGCCAGTCCGCGCCCTTGTCGTGCCAGTGTGCTGTGAGAGAGGCTTGTGTCTTAAGAATTCTTTTTTTACTAGGCGGCGCCCGCCCGGCCCAGCGCCAGTGCGACATCTGTCTCTGATGAGCTGTTTGCTTCTCCTCCATTCGCCTGCGCTGTCGCTCCATCAGCACACCTCACCGCCGTGCTCTCGCCGTGCGTGCCTGCGTGCGTGTGCGGCGGCGGCCGGCGACATGCCGCTCGTCTTCTCGACGACTGCGGGCGGGCTGCGGTTGCGGGACGTCGAGACGGGCGGCGGCAGAGAGGCTGCAGCGGGCGACGTGGTGCGAGTTCTCTTTAGCGGGTCGCTGCTGTCGGGTGCGGAGGGCTGGAGCGTGAGCGAGCGCGGCGAGACTTTCGCCATCGGCAGAGGCAACTCGGCAATGTGGGAGGAGGTGGCGGTCGGCATGCGCGTCGGGGGGCGACGGACCGTGCTCGTGCCGCCGTCCGCGTCCCTCCGCCCGATAAAAAAGGGGCGCGCGCTGCTGGCGCCTCCCGGCGAGACGATGCGGTTCGAGTGCGAGCTCCAAACCATCGAGTCGGGCGTGACCGCCCTCGCCGTGCGCTCGGGCCTGCTCGGCGTCGGATCCGTCGCCGCCCCGCTCGCCCTGATCGCGCTCACCAACTGGCTCTGCTGCCTGCTCTGGGCGGGCCTGCCCCAGCCCGCCGACGCCGCGGAGGCGTCGAGCGCTCGCCTTGCCTGCTCGTCCCGACCCTCACCCTCACCCTCTAACCCTAACCCTTAGGCCTGCTCGCCCGGCCGGCTGCTCGAGTCTCGCACGCAGCTCGACCTCGCCGTGCAGGCTTGCTCCGTGCAGGCGTGGCCAGAGGCGCTCGAACTAGCATCCGACCCGCTGCTGGACGCCGCTTCCTTGCGCGCCTCCCTCGCCGCCTGCTCCTCCCCTCTGGCGCCCTCCCCTCCGGCGGGCGAGGCCGCGCTGCCGGCCGGCTCGGTCGGGTCCGCCCGGCATGAGCCTCGCCGGCCCCGAGCCCTCGCCCGAGCCCTCGCCTCGCGTGCCCTCCGTCGTGGTGTGCGGACTCGACTGGACGCTCTGGCCGCGGCCGCGGGTCAAGTCTTCCGGCGTCGCCTGGGCGCCGGCCGAGGGAGGCGGAGGTGGGCTGCGCTCCCCGTGCGGCGCGCGGCTCGACCTCTTCCCTGGCGCGCGGGCGGCGCTGGCGGCGCTGGCCGACGGCGGCATTTCCCTCGCCCTCGCGTCGCGCAGTCACCGGCCGGAGTGGGCCGTCGAGTGGCTGCGTTCGCTCCGTGTGGGCGAGAGGAGCGTGGCCGAGCTGGTCGGTGGGTCGCCGGTGCTCTTTCGCGACGGACCAAAGGCGCTGCACGTGCGAGAGATAGCGGAGCGGGTGGGCGTTGCGGTGGAGGAGGTCCTGTTTTTCGACGACCGCCTCTCGGACGTGGTGAGCGTCCGTCGGGAGGGCGCCACCGCGGTGCACTGCCCGGGCGGCCTCAGTGAGGAGAGGCTGCGCGAAGGCCTCGCGCTGCACGCGGACCGGGAGGGAGGCAGCGAGGGAGGCAGCGAGGGAGGCAACGAGGGAGGCAGCGAGGGAGGCAGCGAGGTAGGCAGCGAGGGAGGCAGCGGGCCTCGCACCGGCACGCGCGGGCGAGTCGCGAGGCGGCGAGGGCGCGCCGCCCGCCGCCGCTCCTCGGCAGCGCGGCTGGTCCTGCGGGCGAGCGACGAGGCGGTCGTCATCGAGCAGTGCGAGACGCTCGCGGACGGTCGCCTCACCGGCGTGTGCTCCGAGGGCGGCGCTCGGATCTGGCTCCCGCCCACAGCCAGAGGCTACAGACTCGGCGGGCCTCGAGAAACGGCGAGGGGAGGGGCGGCGGCGGACGCCAGCGAGCTGTCCTCGCGCCGCCGTGCGCGGCTCCGGCGGGTCCGCGATGCGAGCGCCGCGCGGGCCGCCATCGCGGGGCTGCTGCTGTGCTTTGCCGCCGGGTTTGGGCTCGGCAGCCACGCGCCGGGAGCCGTCCCGCCGCCGCCGCCGCCAGCGACCACGACCGCCGCGGCGGCGCCCGCGTTCGAGCGGCTGGGGCGAGGTCTGACGACGGGCGAGCAGCTGGCTCGGCAGCAGTTTCGCGTCGAGGCGGACAAGGCGGAGCTGCGCGACCTCGAGGCGGCGATACGGAGAGAGGGGCTCCTCGTGGGCGGGAAGTCGCATGCCGAGCGGGCGCAGGCATACCGCGCGGCGCTGCAGGCCGAGCAGCCGGCGGCGGAGCAGAGGGTGGAGGAGGAAGTGCTCGCGTTCAAGACGCGGCTCGACGCCGAGGGCAGCACCGTGCAGGCGCGGCGTCGGGCCGCCATCAGGAAGATGCAGCTCCAGGTCCTCCAGGACGAGGAGGGCTTGCGCGAGATCTCGAGGGTCGTGGCCGAGCGCGGGCCCGCTGCCCAAGCGGTCCAGCTCGGGGTCTTCGCGAGTGATGGACAGCGGTTCCCTGAGTTCAGCTTTATTCCCTGAGTGCAGCTTTTGCTTGTTCCCGCCATGTGACCCCGCCGTGGATCTTGTTTACGTTTTCTGCCCGCAGGTTGTTGCATGTCACGTTTTTTGTACTACTAAAATAGGCTACTACACTGATTCATCTACGATCTACAGTGCGTGCTCTTGCCTTAGAAATCGGTGTTTAGAAATTGGCTGCTGGAAATTTGGCTGATTTCCCTGGCCGAAATAGAAATCGGCTGCTGGCACGAGGCCGGCCCGATTTCTCTACTCTGCCGCGCCGCAGGCGCGAAGAAATTTTTAGAAATCATACGACTTTTTAGAGAGAGGTCGTTCTTTCACTTTCTTCTCAGTCTACAGTCATGGTGAAACGCAATTTACACCCTCTCTATAGTGTGAACAGTGTGAGTCTTGGGCCCGGGGTTGTGTCTTTGCGTGAACAGTGACGCAACACGTCAAGTCCCTCATGCTCAGCTCTCTGGCGCCGGCTCCAGCAGGAGCCACCACTCGCTCGCGCCATAGTTGTCGGCGGCTAGCTTGCACGCGACACGGCCCGCGAGGTGCTTGGTGCCCGTCTCTTTCTGGGAGTAGATGACGATGTGCGTCGCGTCAGGCTGACGCCACGAGGAGCCCACGCCGAAGTGCTGCACGGTGCCAACGTACCAGCCGGTGGCGCCGTCGAGGAGGTGCGCGGCGAGGATCTTGCGCCGGCACAGCGCGCGCTGCTCGTCGTCGTTCGCCAGCGGCGGGCACGTCGCCGCATAGACGTAGCCCTTCGGGGGCATTGCCGGAGCCTCGCCGCATGCCTGCATGCGCACGGCGGTGTCGTCCTCGTCCTCGTCCTCTGAGTCCTCCATGCCGTCCTCCGCCTCCTCCTCGCCCTCCTCCTCGCCCTCCTCCTCGCCCGCCGCCTCGTCGACATCGGCGAGCTCCGCCTCGTCCTCGTCCGCCTCGCTCTCCCCGCCGTCCGATCCGCCGTCCTCGTCCTTGAAGGTGTAGTCCGTCACCCCCTGCACGCAGATGTGCTCGTCGCCGGAGCCGTCGACAGTCATGAGCAGGCCGAGGCTGCGCGCCGACTTCTCGAAGTCATACGTGGCGCAGAGCGTCTCCCACGCTCGGCCCGCGATCTGCGTGATGAGCGAACGCTTCTGCCACGCCTTGAGGCCACCCTCCTTGGGGCCCTTGGTCCAGCGCTCGAGGTGGCCCGGCTGCTCGAGCCACGTGTCCATCTCGTCGCCCATCAGGTTCTTGAGGCGGACGCCGATGCCGCCGTCGATGAGCATCAGCTCGCCCGTCGAGCCAGTCGGCAGCAGGTGGCGGTCGCAGTGGGCGCGGCGCTGCAGGTTGCGCAGGTGCTCGGGCGTCGTCTGGCCGGAGAGGTTGTCGAAGATGGCGACGCTCCGCTCGCCCGCGGCGCGTGCGGCCGCCGTCGCCTCGCGCATCTCCACGTCCGCGAAGTCCTCGCAGAGCTGGTCGTCAGCCCACGCCTTCGGCTGGAAGCGCACCTGCACGTCGGAGTGGCGCGCATCTCGCTCATTCTGCGAGATCTGCTTGCCCTGGCCGCGAAAGATCACGCACAGCTTGGGCTGCCCGTGCCGCGGCATCGAGGCGTCGCCGTTGCTCGCGCGCGCGACGATCTGCAGCGTGCAGAAGCGCTTGCCGTCGTCAGCCTTCGCCCCCGCCAGCCAGACGCGCTTGGCGCCCGTGTCGTCGTAGGTGCGCCCATCGCCCGCTCGGAGGTTGCACGGCACCTGGTCGACGCTCAGCCGGTTGCGCGGCAACCAGCGTCCCCACTTTGGGTCGAGCTTCTCCTGCAGGCCGCCACGGAGGCGGCGACGGAGGCGCGCGTGCCAGCGCTTGATCTTCGGCAGCCGCACGAGGACGGACTCGGCGCGGCTGTTCGACTTGCGCCGGAGCGACATGCCGAAGCGCCGCGCGAACGACCGCAGCCACCACTTGGACGCCTTGAAGCCGTCGGCCACGTCGGCGCCGGCGAACTCGCGCACGAGGCGCTTCATGGAGACGCGAAGCCATTGGCCGGTCACGCGCTCGCCACGCGTCCGCTTGTCGCGGTAGCGCTTGTGCAGCTCCACCTCGACCGCAGCGAAAGGCGGCGCGCGGCCGCGATGGAGGGTCGTCCGCCGTGCGCCGCGCGACTGGAACGTCGCCATCGTGCCGGTGCGGTGCTTCTGCTTACGGCTGACGCGGTTCTCGTGCTGCAGCGCCATGTGCAGCTCGTCCTCCTTGCCGCCCCACTTGGACACGAGGGAGGGGTGTACGCCCTTGTGAATCTCCGACGTCTCGATGCCGGCGCCACGCCAGCCACTCGGCGCCTTCTCCCAGCGCTTCTCGAGGCTCTGCAACCTGCGCAGCGTGCGCACCACCTCGAGCTTAAAGTAGAGCGAGTGTTTCATGCCCTTCTTCTCGCCCTGGCGGAGCCCACTCTGCTTGATGCCGCCATCCGCGCGCAGCTTTGGTGCTTTCGCGGGTGGCTGCTCGTCGTCGCTGCTGTCAGCGGCTTCGGCGGCAGCCTCGGTGACGGCGGTGGCGGGCTGGGTGGTGGTGGCAGCGGAGGCGGCAGCCTCTGCGGCGGCGGCGACTTCGGCGGCCGTCTCGGCCGCGCGACCGCTGCAGAACTTTTCGTGCGCAACGCGCGCAGGCCCGTGCAAGAATGTCTGCCCACAGCCCTTGGCGCACGACGTGAACTTCTCGGGCGCCTTGCCCACAGCCTGCAGCTGCTCGGGCGTGAGCGAGGTAACGGATCTGATCTGACGGCCTATGCCCGGCAGCGTCGCGTACGTAGTCCTGGTGCCACCAGCAAAGAACGCGCCGATCGACTTCTGCTGCAGCGTGCTATGCTTGCCGCCGCCGGCCTTCGCCTTCACCGTCCTCGGGGTGACAGCAGCGGCGGCGCTGCTCGAGGAGGAGGTTGCAGCTGTCGCGTCCATCGCGCCGCCGATGTTCTGAGGCTCTGATAGGCTGCCCGAGTCGACATGCGTCGCCAGCGCGGCGACCAGAGCTGGCGGTGCTGCTTCCTCCTCCTTCAGCTTGTGTGCGACGGTGTCGGTGAACGACGAGAGGAGTGACCGCAGTGCGGACGAGTCGTACGCCCCGAGCTCCTCGAGGACCGACACGACCTTTGCGGCGTTGCAGCGCTCGCGAAGGCTCGGGTGTGCAGCCAGCAGCACAGTGTTGACCAGCGCCTCCATGGGTGCTGCTCGCGTAGTGTCACGTGTCAGGATGAATGCAAAAAGGGTGCAAATCCTGCACACTGCACACATCGACTACATCCACAGCAAGTCGCCATGCCGCCCTCGGGAGAGTGCCCTCAGCCACGCCTCCGCAAGGTGTACGTCCGCGCGCACAAGCGCAAGGTCGCCGCCACGAAGGACCCCCTCGACGAGCCGGTCGTGCCGCCGCTGACGCGCCGCCAAGCCCGAGACCTCCCGGCCCACATGGTGACCAAGTACAAGGAGGATGCGCTCAAGCGCCTGATGGCCCTCTCGCCAGCGAGCGAGCATGGGACACTTCACAAATTCTTCTCGCGCATGCCGAAGCCGAGCCCGGCTCCCGTCAACGGCGTAGTTGCCGCTGCGTCGTCCTCGACCGCTCCGGTCAACGCCGGCGGCAAGAAACGGGCGCGTGTTACCGCGCCGCCCGTCACGCCGGAGGGACTGACGCCGTCGCGCCGCAACGGCGTGAATGCGGCGATCCTCTGCTTTTCGCCCTTTGCCTAGGCGGGCCGGCTCGTCGCGCAGGCTGTGTCTGCTGAGGCTGTGTGAGGCTGTGCCCACACGACCCGACGCCCGGCTCCCGGCTGTTTATTTTGTGCGAGACTGTGAGCGCGGCGAGTGGGGGAGGGGGGCTGTGTCGGCCTAGCCGGGTGTCATTTGACAATTACAGATTTCATACACCCTCAAAACATGGCACCAACCAGATCGACAATCGGCCTCGCCCGTCACTCGCGCGTCACTCTCTGCGCTCACGGCTGCAGCAGAAGCTGCTCGAGCTCGGCGCGCACCCACGCGCACGTCGCTCGCTCGCTAGGCAGGGCGTGCGTACACGCGCTGACCACACCTGCAAGCGGGCTTTCATCGGGCACACACGGGCGGGTGAAGCCGTTCGCGACGATTGCGTCGAGCTCGTGTCGGAGGCGCGAGTCGCACTTGCCTGGCGCGTCGCCCGTGGCGAAGTGGTACGGGTCGCAGACGCCCGACGGCGCCTCGAGCGCAGCCAGGACACACCCTAGCGACCAGGCGTCGGTGCCACGCGAAAGCGGCACGACTGCGAAGTCGCGGGCCACCCGCACCTGCTCGGGCGCCCGCCAACCCGGCGTGCCTGAGTGCGAGAGCTGCGCCCCAACGGCTAGTCGCCTCGCCTGCCCAAAGTCACACAGCTTAGCGACAAGCCCCTCAGAGCGCGCCGACAGCAGCACGTTCGATGGCTTGAGGTCAAGGTGCACGATGGGGGGAGATCGCGTGTGCAGGTACGACATTGCTCTTGCAATCTGCACGCCGAGGGAGCGGCTCTCGCCCCTCTGATCCCCGATCAACAAATCTCCCAGAGTCCCTGCGTCGGCATAGTCGAGAGCGAGGAACGGCGTCTCGCGCGGGGCGCATGCAAAGCCCATCACATAGATGATGTTCTCATGGTGTAGTGCTGCCGCGATCTGACACTCGGAGGCAAAGGCGCTGCTCGCGCGCAGCGGCTGCTTCACCGCGAGACGACCACCGTAGTGGCGGCCAAGCCTAACGGTGCCTTGGCCGCCCTTGCCGAGGCGACCCTGGCTGCTGCCAAAGGCGATGTCGCGCAGGGCGAGGCCGCCGTACCGGCTCGCGGTCGGCGCCAAAGGCGGGATCGGAGCGACGAGGCGAGGAGCAATTGTAGGTGGAAGAGCGGCGAGGGGCGGCGGAAGTGCCAAGCTCGGCTGCCTCGCGACGAGCAGGTGGCCCCTGCCGTGCTGGCCGAGGGCCCGTGGCCGAGGGACGGTAGACGGAATCGGGACGGGAACGAGAGCCGCA